TAAATATTTTAATTTCAATTATTTAACTTTTAATTTAATATTAAATTCCTTTTTGTATTTTATTTGTATATATATATATATATATATATATATATATATATATATATATATATATATATATATATATATATATATATATATATATATATATATATATATATATATATATATATATATATATATATATATATATATATATATATATATATATATATATATATATATATATATATATATATATATATATATATATATATATATATATATATATATATATATATATATATATATATATATATATATATATATATATATATATATATATATATATATATATATATATATATATATATATATATATATATATATATATATATATATTGAATATATTTAGAAAATAAATTTATAATTTTTTATTATTCTATCTTGTTGATTTATATCCTCTCTTTGTATTCACCGTAAATATTTTAAGTTAAATGATAGAATAATATAAATTTCAAAAGATTAATTTATCAAATATTCAATAGATATAAGACATAGCACAAGTGTCATATTATTTTTTATCCTTACATAATTATCACATTTTTGTCTCCTATTCTAATCACTAGAAAAATATTTCATTTTGTCACTGATAAAAAATCAAGATATGACATCAGTTTCATTTCTTAATACATTTATTTATTTAGACAAGAATTAAAAACATATACAATACTCTTTGGGAGGGTCCTAAATCCTAATAAAATTATAAGAATAATAATAATTAGAAGATTAGAAGATAAGTATGAAAAATATGTGTGGCTAAATACATTGTTATAATAAGATTCTTTTAACTTTAATAAAAACATTTAGTATAATACAAGGCTAAAAAATTAACAGAAAAGGAATCTTATAAAAGAAAAAACACAAAGAAAAAAACAGAAATGAACTTTTTAGGAATAATAATGTAGAGTCAAAAGCTGACTATTAAACATTTATTATATGATTATCATATAAATAAATATATATTTATTTATTATTACATTGCGAGAAATCTGATAATCCCTTAACAAAGTCTTTATATATATATAGCTGCAAACCAGGTCAATTTTCAATCACATTTTTCTCTCTCTCTCTCTCTCTCTGCATTCTTTGCTAGAAAAGAGGTAACTGCTTACTACACAAACCAATCACTTTCTTACATGATTATATCAATCTTTAATTTTATGTGTCTATGTTTTTTTACAATAAAGTTCTTGTTAACTGTTACTATGTTTTATCTTAGCTCTAGGCCTGCATTATATTTACCTTATATTATATTTTATCATAAGATAGATATGAATATTTTTGATGTGTTGATAACAGTTCTTTTTGTAGCATGCCGGCAGAAAGACAAAGATGTCTTAGTGTTAATATTATTATATAGTATTTGGAATGAATCATAGTTTAATTGTTTTGTTGTGTTTCAAAACAAGAGTCATTGTTTGGTTTTGGTGTTTTTGTTGAGTTTGTGTTGTCTTTTATTGCAGCAAAGACAAGAAGAAAACAAGTATGGAAGCAAAAGGTGGTGGAGAAGTTAGAAGGCTTCACATAATCTATTTTCTTAGTCATATGGGTGGTCATGCAGAACATCCTCATCTCATTCGTGTTCTTCATCTAGCTCGAAATGGTGTTTTTCTCCGAGGTCATTACTCATCTATGTTTCATCTTGTTATTCATAAACTCCTCACGATTATGGTTCTAAATTGCGGTCCACGACTGTAATATAAAGATTTTAGATGTCTTTAAATATTTCTGATGTCTCTGCAACTATATCAAACCGCAATTCAGTATTGCATATTTTGTTGTGAGTCTAATTTGAGAATGTATCTGAAAATGCGATTGCAAAAGCAATTTAAAACTATGTTTTGTTCTGACGATTACTTGTTTTTTTATTTTTGTTGAGAAGATATTAAGAGATGGTTAGGTGAATTGAGAGGAAAGGACTTACCTGAATCATATGCATGGTCCTACAAAAGGTTGTTGAATCATACATACTCTTTATTAATCTTTACTTTTCCTTACTTTACTCCATTTTTCTCTACCTCATTTTCTTTAACCTTTAACTATATATGTATAACCCTAATCAATTTTTGCAACTGACAATTATTGAAGTGTAGGAGGTACAAGAGTGGATATGTGTGGCAGGATTTAATGGATGACGACCTCATAACCCCCATTTCTGATAATGAATACGTCCTCAAAGGATCACAAATCCACACTACCCCTTTTGGTATGTACTTTCACATGATCACTACTATCCTATTTTTATTAATGCACATTAGCTATTTCATTATATTCAGCTATGAACATTATTGTTTATTACCTATGAAACACGACGTCAACACTTACACTTCGACACCGGTAATAACTTAAAAAATTAATAAATTGAACGTTATCACAAGTGTTGGTGTCGATGCTATAGAGTTTAATATCTTATTATGTAATTTTTCTAAGAATGTGAAAGAAGAATCATTAAGTTTTACACTTTTTTTATGACTAATGCAGAAACTCATTCAATAAATCCAATCAAAGAAAAGAAGAATGGTTCTGATATAGCTGTGCAAGTTGAAGAGGGCAACAAACAAAAGCAGCAAAAGAAACCATCTTTATCAGAAGAAGAATCTGAAATTCGGAAAGAAACCGATACAAGAAAGAATAATCTGAACCATGTGTCATCAGAAATAAGTCAGGACTCATTGGTTTTCAGCTCGGACAGATCATCGGTGACCGATGACGATTCGTCTTCTAAAGTCGAAGAAGAGAAGCTTTTAGGGAATGGTAAAGAAAGTAGTTTGAGTGAAAAGAATCATGACAAGTTTGAGAGTTTCACATTTCCTTCTTTGTATCATAATTTGATGAGTAAGAAGGGTAAAAAAGATGGACATAATAACAAAACTGATACTACTACTACTACTACACCTCCTGATTCAACTTTGTCTACTCCAACTTCGTCGACGTCATCTCAATCCTCTTTTAATAAGATCAGAAGCAATTCTACTAGAGTTTCTAGTGTGTTCAGAAATATGATTGGTTGTGGAACTGTGGCTACAAATGATGCTGCTTTTGTCTCTATGAACCCGGCTCCGAAAACTCTCCCTAAAGAAACTAACAATGTGCTTGGAAAGAGGGGTGAGATTAATAGAGGAGACAAATTGGGAGGATCAGCTAGATGTTTTAGTACTTCTTGGAATTGCTATGAACAAAATGGACATTACGAAGCCCGGTGAGTAGTTGTATGGTAAATTGAACTAAGAATTATGGTTGACACAATCGAAATTGCAGTTATGATTCCTTTGCATGGACCTCAAAATCTTGTATATTGTAGTCACAATTGTGATTGCAGATTGCAATTCAAAACCATGATTAAAATACTCGTAATCACGACCCTTTTAAACTTGGTTTTTGAAAATGGTCGGCAATTTATTTGCAAAGTTAAATGAAAACATTATTTGGTTGGTGTTTTCAAGTTACTTTTTATTAATTTCCAGTTTCTTTTTACAGAAAAAGCTGTGATGGAGGAGAAATAAGCAAGGGCAGGAAAAAGCTAAGCGAGTTAATGAATCAAACTTCTCATAAACCATTTGGGGGACCAGTTTGCTCGTAAGTAACTGAACAACATGTCACTTTAGTGTAGTTTCAATTGTTAGCATTTCAACAATGCAATACATTACATGACAAATTGTGCATGAAAAATTATATGCGCTTATTGGTAGAAAATATTTTATAGCATACAAGTTCAAGATTTTCAAGTATTTTGGTTTGAATCTTGTTGCTGAAGAAATATCTTTGTAAGCGTTCTATGAACCATGAGGATTTTTTTGCCTAATCGCCGGGACTCAACTTGTGTTGACTAGTTTGAAAGTTTGGTAAGAAGAAAACAAAATTAAAAAATATGACTCATGTACTTGAAACTACATCTGGCATAAGTTTCCAACAGAAAAAGCCAACAGGGTCAATATTCTGCTAGTGTGATTATTATATAATCAAAAATAAAATTAATGTTTTTTCTTGTAAAAGAAATACAAACTATAAGTTGGTTGACATTGATTGCTAGATTATGATGTTTACCAACTATTGGCTACATGGACTGATTTTGCTTAAAAGCTGAATTTTTTGCATCTTAATTTAATGTGACAAAGTTAGAATAGCATGAGCTACATACTTTATAAGCCCATATTTCTAAACACATTCAATTGTGTTATTAATTGTGATTATGAAAGATAAGGCCATAATTAGAAGTTGATGATGCAGGCAATGTGGGAAATCATTCAAGCCTGAGAAAATGCATAAACACATGATGTCTTGTAAAGGAATGAAAGGCATTGGAACTTCAACTATTGCTGAGGAAACACAACATAAGAGAACAACTTCATCTTGTAAAGATTACCTTTTGCAAAATTAAATATGAATGACTCCTTTTGACTCCAAACTAGAAGAAGTACTTGGTTGTTAAGTTTTGATGTAACTTCTCACTTTGTTTCTTGACCTTATATAAATACAGTCAAATTATCACAGTTTTTTGTCTTCTCTACTACTTTATCACAGCTTTTGATATGATTCCTCATTCTTTGTTGTTAAGCCATGAACATTTGGAACACATAGATAGGTACTAGGAAAATTCTACTTTAGATTAGGAAATGAAAGTTTGCCACTCGTATCGTCAAACTAATTTTTGCGCAATCAGAGTCAAAACAGACCTCAAAACTAAGTGTGTTAAGATACCTCTAGCAGATTACCAACTAACAATGTCATTAAACCGTAAATAACAACATAATCGAGATAACATAATACCTCTTAAAATTGCATAATATTGGGCATAACTTCATTCATTGAAAAAGTTAGATAAGAGTATACAGAAGGTGAGATCTTTAATCCTAAAGGGTTTTACATAATCCAACTGTTAGCTATCCAAAGCAGAGTCAATTCAGAATAGTATTCTCCATTTTGTCAATTCTGTTAGATCTTGTAGTACTAAATATTTACTAACTAGAAGCAACTGCGGAGTTAACATGCTCGAGGAGAAACCGGTAGAAACTTGTTCTCAACTTCTCTACCCTATGATCAACCTTATCTTTACTGTCCAAATTATCTAGCCAGTGATTAACCTTTCTTAGCTGTCCAAGAAGACATGCAACTTCACTGCTCCCTTCATTTTTCAACCCGAATTCATTACTTATAGATTCCTCCAAGTACTTCAAGAACCATTCACGAGAAGCCGCGAGCAGTTTTTCTGCCAAACTCGCAGCCACTTTAAGTTCACATTGTTTTGACTGTTCCCGTTTCTCTCTATCTTTGTTTTTGTCTACCAAGAGATTCCGCTTTGAAGAAGAAAGTCTTTTACCAGTTGAATTTTGTAAGGGATTGGCTTGTGTTATGCGACTTTTCTTGTTTTGAACAGCGGATTCCCCGGTATTCATTTCCGTGCGAGAATTCTCATTCTCAATGATAACATGGTGACATCTCTCACCATTCAAAGCCTCGCTTTTTTCTTGTGTTTTGTATAGATTGAAATTTGAAAAGTTGGTATCTAATGCAGCTTGTATCCAAAATGTAGCATTCTTGCGAGTCGGAACTTTACAAGCATCTTCTACTAGAGACTGTACAGTAACTTGGCTGCTTGGTTTTGTTTCGGGAGGTATGGAAAGTAAGGAATCAAATGCCAATTTTACTCTTTGCAGACTAAGATGAAGTTCCAAAAACTGCTTCACAAGCAATCCAGCAGAAAGTGTCTGCCGAGACTCGCAGAGTTCAGAAAACAAGCTGAAAGGAGGATAATTGTTAGTTATCTTAGTCAATGCAGTTATAAGCCATAGAAACAATTTCACATTACAAGCAATGGTAGTAGAAAACTGAGAAATTTCCTTCAAATTCTGGTTTCAATATTTACATGTGACAATTGTGTAATGTGATCGAATAGCACTTAGATTATCTATTGACTTCAGACACACTTCAATTATTATATTTGATGATGATAAGATCGATGGTTTTAACTAGCTAAAAAGAAAAGTTAAAGTTGAATAACACATAAAGGGCCGTAGATGTGAAAACACAATCTAACCATGCTAAAGTTGAAGAAAAAACAAGTACTCCAAAATAGCAATCAAAGCCACAAACTCAACACAGTATTTTATCTGTGCTTCTCAGCTGTGATTGACAATGACATGTCTTCTCACTTTTATACAACTCACCGTCTACTTTTTCATCTAGTGTAGAGTTTCTAACTCACACTTGACACCGCAAAGGTGAGAAGCATGTGTTTTCTAATGAGTGAGAGACATGAAGGTTAAAATGGCAAAAAAAACATTTGTAGCCAAGGATATGAAACACTTATAAGGATCTCTTATAATACAGTATTGGTCTAGGTAAGAATGGAAATGCAAAAAATTTGAAGCAAAATAAATAATTACTGCATGCATTGAAGCACGGTATCTGCAGCGGATGCTTCTTCAAGAGATCTAACAGCCGCCAAAAAAGCAACATTCCTATGAGTTACAACTTGCTGTAAAAAAAAGTTACACACGTTTAGAATAAGATGAATGAATCAAATTCGCAGAGCTAACATGAAAAATATGTAGTCAGTAACATACATACACACCTTTCCAAGATTAGAAATGGGTTGTGGAAGATTATCCCAAGATCCAAACTTATCATACCATGTTTTGAAATTCAAGGGCACCTTAACAAGCTGCCTTGAAACAGCACCATTTCCAACACAGGCTAACTTAGGAACAGCAACAGCACTTTTCCTAGGAGGTGTGCCTGTTGTTTTAGGACACAAGTTCTCATTTTTGTTCTTCAATGGTGACACAACTGAAGTTAGAGACTTCTTCAATGGAGAATGAGAATCCGTTTTCACAGAAACCTTCTTGTCTATCACCTACACCAACAAGCTTCATCACCAATGCGCCGCAATAAATGATTAAAGAAATCCTTAAAAAGTTAACATTTTTTACTACAAAAATACCACCAAGTTGTAATTTTTTTTCTACACAGTGCAGATTGTAAATTATGCAGAAGCCTAAACTAACCAAAAATATTAACCATTTCAAAGGGTTTTATGTGTTTGAAAAACAAAAAGTTGAGTGGTAGATGGGTCCAGTTCAAGAGACATAAAAGCATATTAAAAAGTAATAGGGCCCTCATTCAACATCATTAGCATTATGCCATTATCCAAAACAAAGATTTCATTTTTAAACTATAAAAACACAACCCAAATGAAAAACAAACCAAACCCTCTTCCCTCAATGAAAATCTCAGCATAAAAAGATGAAAAAAAAAAGGGTAAGAAAATACATTAGGTGAAGATGAGGTAGATTTGTTGAACTTGAATCTTGAACTTGAACTTGGAGAAGATGGTTTAGTTTTAGTATGATCCCAAACTCTTCTAGTAGCAGAATCTAAACTCAACCTTCTCATTTCAACAACCACATTGTTCTTCTTGTTTCCATTAGAGTGTGGCCTTTGAACTGACCCTGACCCTGACGATGACCCTTTCTTCTTCTTAACGTTGTTGTTTGGTTTTGAAGTAGTAAGAAAGTTCAAAAACTCGCTAGAAACCAAATCAGTTGGGTTCCCGACGCAAGGTCTTCTCTTAGGAAGAGGGTTTAAGCCAGAAACGAGAGGAACAGGAGAAGATGAACCGTCCGAGTCAAAGCGAGTTACGTAGACGAACTGACCGAGTTGGAGTTTATCGGAGCGGATTAACTCGGCGTCGGAGTTGGAGACGGAGACGTAAGCGGAGTGGAGAGAGTCGGAGAGTTTGAGGAAGTAGCCGGTGTTGGGTTGCCACGTGTCCTCCGAGAGATGAGGGATGATTTCTGTTACTTGAAGGAGTGGTTGACGGTGCTCGCTGGTTACTCGGTTGCCGGCGTTTTGGAGAAGCTTTGAGAGGACGCCGGGGGTTAGAGACGCCATGGAAGCTTTTCTGGTAAGGCTCTGTTTCCGTTGTGCAATGCCTCTGTTTTCTCGTTCATGTATCACAATCAAGTGTGTAACAAAAACAAATAATCTTATTATAACTTCCAATTAGTTTACTCTTTCTTCTTTTTTTTTTTTTTTTTTTTAATGTTTAGTGTGTTTTATAGTATTATTTTGTGACATGGTTTCTACTTTTTATAAGAGTTTGGTTTTTAAAGTGTATTTTGCTAAATGAATGAGGTGTAAACAAATATGGAAAATGGTTGGACTAATATAAAATTTAGAATTAATGATAGATGAAATAAAATATTTAGAATGTAATTATATTCATTGGTTTGGTTTATTGATTTTATGATTTCTAAAAATTAAAATTGAGAACTGAATCAAATCACACGATTTTTATTAGTTCAGTTTGACTTTAGAATCTAACCAAAAACAATTGATTTTATTTTGGTTTGGTTTGATTTAGATTATCAATTTAATTAATTTTTTCCTATCCGTTTACATCCTTAAATGAGATGGAATAGAGTTAAATGGAATAAAATAAAATTATGTTTAATATTTTGGATTGATAAAATAAGAATGTAAATGAGTTGGATACCATGGAATATATTTCTTCTAATTTTATTAGTTACTTTTATTTTTGTTCTTTTTAATTTAGGCGGAATAACATTTTTGTTACATTTCTTTACTATAAAATATTCAAACAATGAAATGAGATATTCATTTTACTTTATTTCAATTCATTTCACTTTATTCCACTTTGTTCTGTTTAATTTGAAATATCAAAACATATATAGTCTAAAAGACTTTGTAAAAAAAATCTAATTTACATGTAGGGTATACTTATATCTTCTTTACATTAATTTATACTATGATTTTTCTTAATTTAGTAATGTTGCTATTGTCTGGGGAAAAAAAAGCTTTCATATTCTTTCAAACCTTGTCTGAAAGGACTTTTTCATACTTGTGTAATATTGTTTGATTTTGTTTCTTTTTAAAGCAATGATATGGTGTACTTTAGTATTGTCAACCCAACATCTGAGAAATCAAATGTTGTTGGTCTAAATGCTAATGTACTACAATTTAGTTAACTATGTGTTCTTAAACTGGATGCTACTAAAAATTGATGTTGGGAAATATTTTCATTAAACAAATCTTTAAGTTATGTGATCATATGTTTAAATGAGTATGTCTGAAAGTTGCTAAGTTGGTTTTGAGATAGTTTTGAAAGGTTTGGTTTTAGTTCTAATAGAAAATTATATTGTGATCAGTTATGAAATAGGTGATAAGTATAAAGAAATAAAATAAAATGTCCAGTGAATATATATATATATATATATATATATATATATATATATATATATATATATATATATATATATATATATATATATATATATATATATATATATATATATATATATATATATATATATATATATATATATATATATATATATATATATATATATATATATATATATATAACTCTTTTTGAATGTGTCTGTTATACTCTAACTTTTACTCCTAAAATCTCACTTATCATCTCATTGTATTTCATCAAAATCACAAACATGATAGCCTCCTAACCCTCTTGTCTTTGGGTTTGTTGTGTGGCAGATCATCAAGCACCGTCTTGTGTTTTCTTTTATCTTTATGATTACTTGCTATTGTACTTTACTAACCCTATTCAAAATACAAAAATATGTTTTGTTTCATTTTCCTATTTTACAAGGTAGGACTTTGAATCAAAAAATCAAGATGGTTTTCAAATTAGGGTTTTGATCCTCTAAGTCAAAGTCAAGGTCAACAAGGCTTATTATTAAAGGCATGACCTATAATCTTATGTCACATTAATGTCAAGCTTCATTCAACACCAATTGACCAAAAGTAGTTCAAGTTTGATGCTTGGTTTGCAAGTTAACTCAAGATAGATTCATGTGTTTATTTTCATGCCTTCTTCATCATTTTCCTTAAGGTTTCATCAAGATAAATCAAATATTTATCAAGGATATTTTATTTGAAGTTCATATGATCATCATTGTGCCTTGAAATGCAAGAAAACATAAAAAATGACAACTTGGAATATGGTGGTTTGACCTAAAAACAAATGTGGCATACCCTTTGGTCTAAATACCATAACTTCTTCAATTCTCAAAATTTATGAGCGCTTCTTTGAGCCAAATGTCAAGAATGATGTTCTCTATAACTTTGCTTTAGAAGTCAAATGCCAATTATGCCTCTAAGTCCCTCGAATTTTGAATTGGATTCAAGATCACATGTGCACAAAATAAGGTCCATGATATGGTTGATACAATGCCTGACCTGTTTTTCAGTGCCACGACCCAAACATCCAACTCATGCCATTTTCAAATCAATCATCCTTTTGAAGTGGTTCTTTTTGCATTGTATTCTCCTCCATGCAAGGATCATTTGGCTCAAAGAAAATTACAACACAGACGAGTGAATTTCATTTTTCCAAAGCTTAATGGTGACTTAACTCTGCATTTTGGTACATGACCTGTAATTAGAAATGATGTCAAACTTCATTTAGGGACCACCAACCCATGTGCATCTCACTTGTTGTTGCTAAATGCATCCCACTAAGTTCAAAATGACTCATTTTGGTGCTTAAGACATGCTTTTCATCACTCAATTTCACACGGATCGGATCTAGAAAATTCTAAACTTAGTTCACGTGATTGAATATGAATTTGGAACGTACCATGGCCTCACTCTCTTTCCTGTAAATAGAGTAAGGTTCTGCTATCTTTTCCAAGCCTCAATAGCCAAAGAAACTAAGCCTCCATAGAATCCTGAAACTTCTCAAAAACCAGAAGTTGGTTTTTCATTTTTAAGCTCTTTTAACTTCAAAGTTTCACTTAGAATCCTCTATCGGCGTCATCTAAAGTTACTTGAAGCATTACAGAAGCTTGTCGTGACCTCTAAGTACCAACTCGATCTCACTATTTTTCATACCTCCAGAGCTTACTTCGAACAGGTAGCTACGAGTTTTATTTTCACTTAAACAAGTTACCACACTCTTCGTCTTGATCTTCTGAGTGAAATCCCTAACTTCACTATGATTTATTGTTTATATTTGGCATTTAATTTTACTTCGAAGCATGTTAGGTTTTCTGTGTTTTTCTGTAAATTCTCCTTGCTCAGATCAAATAAATTGATCTTGAGCAAGGAGACATGAACGATGATGTTTGGTGAAGCTGAAACATGTGTTATTTTGGCTTGAACCCACTAGTTCATGACTTGCTAAATCTAGGATTTTGAGGTTGAACATGAAGATCTTCAGGCGTTACCGTGGGAAATTTGAATCCTCGATCAATAAAAGTTTGCCATGTGCACTAGTCGTTTGGTTTTAATTTTTTTTCTTTTCATTTTTCTTTTAAAATAATCATTAAAAATAGCTCCATTAATTTTTTTCACTCCAACTTTTTTTCATTATTTCCTAAAAATATTTTCTACCTCTTGTGATTTTTTTAGAATTTTAAAATGATTTTTATCATTTTTTGCTATTTTATTTTGTTTTCTATTTTAATTGATTTTAAACATTTTTCTCCATCATTTTCAAATATTTTGGATTCAAACTTTTGAGATCTTGATCCTTGGAGTGTTTCTGACTTTCCATAATTTTCTTGATCATTTATTTGATGTTTTAGGATATCATTTGATTTTCCCCTTTTTTTTTCCATTTAAAAACCTTTTTTAAACCATTTTAATTGTTTTTCTTCATCTATTTTGGTTTAATTTCTGGTTGACTTGGATCATGGCTTGACTGATCAATGCTTCATTAAGATCAATGGACTTTGGATGATACTTTGGTTGTATGAAATTTTATCATTTTAAACTTACCATTAAATGATCATTTGGATCATTTTTGAAACTTTGAATTTATGATAGGTTTATCCCATTGTGCCATCAAGAAAGCTATTTGAAATTGATCATGTAGATATTTTATTTGTTATACTTTTATTTATGTAGATATTTGTTTTAAGATATTTTATTTGTTTCTTTATACTCACCACATCCATGAGTTTCATGAATTGTTGCGTTTAAGTTCTTGGATCCTTTATTGCCTTGTTATTTTTGCACAGAAGGATATAAATTTGTTTAATATTTGTTACACTATTGGATGACCATAATTATGTTTTTAGGTATAGAATGTATGGTGATGGAAAACGTGTTCAAGATATATTTTAGATGCATCTTAAATTCATCAATTTGTTTAACACATTTATCATTGTATTAATAATGGATTCAACATATAAGATCAACAAATACAAGTCACATTTGCTTGAATTATTTGTATTACTTCTAAAGAGATGACATTTTCAATTGGTTTTGCATTTACAAAATGTGAAAAGGAGGATAATGTAACTTGGACTCTAGAAATGTATCATAATTATTGAAAGACTCATATAACATGTTACGAGTAATTGTCATTAATCGTGATACTTCTTCGCCAATGAATTATGTTACAAAAAAATTCTACATTATTTATTTTAGGAAAAATACACTTTTTAGTCCTTTAACTTTATCTCGGGATCCATTTTGGTCCTTTAACTTTTAAAAGAACCAATGTAGTCCCTAATGTCTTCAAACAGGGTCATTTAAGTCCTTGATGTCTAATTTTCACAAACAACATTTATTTATGCACATGTGGCATCTAACGTGGCATATCTTTATTACCAAGGTCACTAAAATTCCAAAAATAATACTTACAAAGTTTTGGCTCTAGAAGGAATCAAACCCATGTCATTTTGATTGCTTAGGAAAATGGTACACCACTAAGCTACATTGCATTTGTTTATCTCTTTTACAAATCAGATATAAATTAACAATAAAAAAAGATAGGATTATCTCACTATATAACCAGACCAGTAGTTTTTCAGTTTTTTTTCCAGAGTTGTATTAGCAATCATCACACACAAATGATATATAGCACAATAGCACTTTCACTTTAGAATTACAAGCAAAAC